GTACTAGCTATACCTATAAGTTAAACAATCCTTGTAAATATTTATTGTATGTATGTACCTTACCTAAATAAAATTGTATTTGTATTTGTATTTGTATATAACAAAAAGAATGTCAAAAATCATTGCATGAGACAATTGACGGATTGAAAGGCGGGGCTTAAGAGCTAAACTTCGGCCCTTCAGGTACAAATAAGTAAATACACACGCACATATGCACAATCAGAAACACACAGCGCTCTGGGGTCGTAGTTCTCAGGGCTCGGGTTCGATTCCCGGTCCAAGCAGAAACAGACAGGCAAAGTTTTGTTCACCTGATGTGTCTGTTCACCCAGCAGTAAATAGGTACTTGGGAGTTAGACAGCTGCCCCGGGCTGCTTCCTGAATGTGTGTGTGTGTGTGTGTGTGTGTGTGTGTGTGTGTGTGTGTGTGTGTGTGTGTGTGTGTGTGTGTGAGACAGAGAGAGAGAGAGAGAGAATTATTGTGGTAGATATGATAGAGGAAAAATAGGGCGAGAATGTCAGTACAATAGACAATCGACGGGCAGAAAGGCGGAGTCCAAGAGCTAACAGCTCTATCCAGCAGGCATAAACAGCAAACACACACACACACACACACACACACACACACACACACACCAAGCCCCTCCATGTGAACTAGAGACGTTAATACCACTTAAGATCAACAAAACAACCCATAAATAATATATACATCAACTAGAACATTTAAAGTGACCACTCGCTGTCCTTAAGCCGCCCCAAGACATCTTACACGAACGCTGTATAAGAATATGTTGAGTATGACGGCGAGGCGAGGCATCTAAGGCCGCCCCCAGCACCTGGCTCAAGCCTCCTTACCTGTTGCCTGCACCTGTCCGACCCGCGCTCCCGCCTTGAAGACACCTGTAAGACTTTTGTGATATTCGTTCCCCTACGCCTCAGAGAATTGTCGGGAGGAGGGAAGGTCCGACTTGAAGGGGGGAGGGAAGGTCCGACTTGTAGGGGAAGGGAAGGTCCGACTTGAAGGGGGAGGGCTCACAACCGATTGGGCCCTGATAAGATGCCCGGGCAGAGCCAAAACGTTTCGACAAGTTTCCTTGCCTCTAATGTGACTGTTCGCACTAGCAGTTACCAAGATTGAGGCGACTGTTGTGGGTGGCATACAGGGAGGAGGAAGGTCAGTCTAGGGAGATCCCCGAAGCGCTTAATAACAGGCTTTTTGTCCTAGACAATGAGAGACTAGATGAAAATGATTGTATTTCCCTACTACTCAGTTCCTGCTCACTACTGGCTCTCATGGGGCAATCCTGTTTGTAGTCTAGTTGGCTCCCTTCCCGACTTACAATCGGGAATCCCGGGTTCGATTTGCGGCCGGAACGGAATTGGTTGGTCTTGCCTGGGGGGGGGAGAAAAGGGGGGGGGGGCGGGACCCGGATAATCCCAACTCCACGCTTCCTGTCCCCGATATCTAATTATATATTATTTCTACACGTGGTTCATCTGTCTGTTGTTGATCTACCTGTTGTTGATCTACCTGTTGTTGGTCTACCTGTTGTTGATCTACCTGTGGTTCATCTACCTGTTGTTGATCTACCTGTTGTTGATCTACCTGTTGTTGGTCTACCTGTTGTTGATCTACCTGTGGTTGATCTACCTGTGGTTGATCTACCTGTTGTTGGTCTACCTGTTGTTGATCTACCTGTTGTTGGTCTACCTGTTGTTGATCTACCTGTTGTTGATCTACCTGTTGTTGGTCTACCTGTTGTTGATCTACCTGTTGTTGGTCTACCTGTTGTTGATCTACCTGTTGTTGATCTACCTGTTGTTGGTCTACCTGTGGTTGATCTACCTGTGGTTGATCTACCTGTTGTTGATCTACCTGTGGTTGATCTACCTGTTGTTGATCTACCAGTGGTTGATCTACCTGTGGTTGAACTACCTGTGGTTGATCTGTTGTTGATCTACCTGTTGTTGGTTCTGGGCATTAATGTCCCCGCGGCCCGGTCTCTGACAAGCCTTGCCGTGTTCCTACATCTTTGTCTCCTTCGAGAGTATATTTCTGGTATTTTATTGTGGGCGCTCTCTTCCTCCCTCTTCGTCTCCTCTCTCTCATTCTCTCCCTTTCTCTCCGTCTCCTCTCTCCCGCTCTCTCTCTCTCCCTCTTCCATACAGCTCTCTCTCTCCCTCTCCCTTGCAGCTCTCTCCCTCCCTCTCCCTTGCAGCTCTCTCCCTCCCTCTCCCTTGCAGCTCTCTCCCTCCCTCTCCCTTGCAGCTCTCTCCCTCCCTCTCCCTTGCAGCTCTCTCCCTCCCTCTCCCTTGCAGCTCTCTCCCTCCCTCTCCCTTGCAGCTCTCTCCCTCCCTCTCCCTTGCAGCTCTCTCCCTCCCTCTCCCTTGCAGCTCTCTCCCTCCCTCTCCCTTGCAGCTCTCTCCCTCCCTCTCCCTTTCTCTCCGTCTCCTCTTTCTCCACTTACTCTATTACTAGCAAATATTATTTGATTCACATGTACATTTTCAATGTAATTAATTCATAATTTATAAACACTATCTCGTGTCATTTTCATTATCTTCTACACCAGGAGAAAAGAAAAAACCTTTCGCGCATGCTTATCTAAGTTATTCCCAGCATCTGTATCAACAGTCTCGTTGATCATCCTCCTCTAATCGAAAGATATTGTTTAATTAATTATTTTTCCTTGCTGGCGTACTCATTACACACTAATTATATATATTTTTTGTTTCTGGGTAACTTTTTTTTTTCCTGATTGCTTGCGTCTCCAAAGCATTGAAAATGGCTATTACTCCCCCACAGACTTTGCTTTGATCTTTGCCTCAGAGCACTTAAGGACGACGTCTTAAAGATACCTGAAGGCTGGCGAGTCCTTGGGTGAGATTCACGAAGCTGTTGCCCAAGTACTTACGAACGTGTACATCTTTCCTCAATCTTTGACGGCTTTGGTTACATTTATTAAACAGTTTACAAGCATTAAAACTTGCCAATCAACTGTTGTTATTGTTATAAACAGCCTCCTGGTGCTTCGGAGCTCATTAACTGTTTAATAATTGTAAACAAAGCCGCCAAAGATTGAGAAATGATGTACAGTATGCAGACGAGGAGTCACAATAACCTGGCTGAAATATGTTGACCAGGCCACACACTAGAAAGTGAAGAGACGACGACGTTTCGGTCCGTCCTGGACCATTCTCAAAATCGACTTGAGAATGGTCCAGGACGGACCGAAACGTCGCCGTCCCTTCACTTTCTAGTGTGTGGCCAGATCAACAAAAGACGTCCAGGTTCGTAAGTGCATGCGTAACTTCTTGGTGAATCTGGCCCCGGATCTAGAGCCTTGGGGCTAAATTCACGAAGCAGTTACGCAAACACTTACGAACCTGTACATCTTTTCTCAATCTTTGGCGGCTTTGTTTACAATTATTAAACAGTTAATGAGCTCCGAAGCACCAGGAGGCTGTTTATAACAATAACAACAGTTGAATGGGAAGCTTTCATGCTTGTAAACTGTTTAATAAATGTAACCAAAGCCGTCGAAGATTGAGGAAAGATGTACACGTTCGTAAGTACTTGCGTAAGTGCTTTCGTGAATCTGGCCCCTGACACACTGTTGCGTAAGTCAGCAGTCTTCAGGTCCTTCCAAGACGTCTTCCCTAAACCGTTGAGGGCAAATAACAGTCACTTTCTATACTGAAGGAGACACAAGCGATCAGAAAAGGGAGAGGGACTTGAGAGTGTAAGTAGGGCCGAGGGAGTGTGGGGTGAAGGGGAGAATTCATGGGAATCGAGAAGGGAAAGGGAAAGGGAAATGGGGTATTGACAGCACCACAAGCCCTGACTCTAAATCTAAATCTCCTAACTAACTTAATCTCTAAATCTGATTCTTAACTCTAAATCTGATTCTTAACTCTAAATCTGATTCTTAACTCTAAATCTGATTCTTAACTCTAAATCTGATTCTTAACTCTAAATCTGATTCTTAACTCTAAATCTGATTCTTAACTCTAAATCTGATTCTTAACTCTAAATCTGATTCTTAACTCTAAATCTGATTCTTAACTCTAAATCTGATTCTTAACTCTAAATCTGATTCTTAACTCTAAATCTGATTCTTAACTCTAAATCTGATTCTTAACTCTAAATCTGATTCTTAACTCTAAATCTGATTTTTAACTCTAACTCTCATCCTGGATGTGAGAACGTAATCGAATCTCTGGTATTTTGAATCTCCACATTTCTTCCTCTCCAGATATAAGCTAAGAGGCCTCACCTGCATAATTATGAACAAATCCACAAGGGCCGTGACGAGGATTCGAACCTGCGTCCGGGAGCATCCCAGACACTTGTGGATTTGTTCATTTGATGCATCACGTTAGTGTGATCTCTGTGTGTGATGCATAATTATCCTGTGGTTCATCCCGGGTTGAGGTCAATATTGTGTGGTGGTGTTATCTCTCCCAGACTACACCCCCACAAGTGCTCGTCCCAACACTGAAAACACTGACCAAAGCATCTGACTCCAAGGTCTATTATTGTATACGGGATTAATATTAAAATGATCCCAACGTACTCGCCTCGAGAATCCACAGTCTGATCTCTTCTACGGCGACGGGAGGGGGGGGGCCTATGAGGGGAGAGCAGAGAATATGAGGTATGAGGAGAGACCAGAGTATGAGGCGCACACCTCATACAACGTGGTCAACCTTACCTTGGTAGACCATGCGTCTCATTGGTGCTTCATGGTTGTTTTGCATGGTGGAAGCCACAGCCTGACTCCCCACCGACATGGCGAATAACCTGTGGGTGGAGCAACGGATTACGTCAAGGAGTTAGGGGGAGGGGGGAGTGGATTGTTTAAGGCGGGACTCCTCCTCCTAAGTCACTCCCACGGGGAGGTAGACTTTTTTTTATACATGTGAGGGGGTGTGGAGAGGAGTGGTGGGGGGGGGGGGGAAGGGGAGGGGGGTGTAATATATTTTGTGGTGAGCACTTACCTCCAAATACTTTGTTGACCTTGTCCGAATCCCTGATCTGCGCGATGGTCATGGGCCGGCATTCCTTCTTGTTAGTAGTCATGTTGATGATTTGGGGGAGAGCGGAGGGGGAACACGTGGCGAGAGAGAGAGAGAGAGAGAGCACCAACGTTTAAGACAAACGTTTACAGGGTTAGCTAGCTACACGGAGCGAATGGAAGACAAAGGTTGACATGCGAGGGGGAGAGTGGGGTGGGTGGTAGGCAAGTTAGCAGCGGCTCACAGCGAGGGAAAGAGTGGGGTGGGTGGTAGGCAAGTTAGCAGCGGCTCACAGCGAGGGGGAGAGTGGGGTGGGTGGTAGGCAAGTTAGCAGCGGCTCACAGGCCAGAGAGATTTACACAACTCAACACACGGGGAGGATTGAGCTCTCGCTACGGATTTTATGCCATTCAATTTCAACTCGATGAGAAACATGGAAGAAAAAGCGTCAGGACCACAGATGAGAGAGACTAAGAGATGAGGAAGGAGGAAGGGAGGTCCTCACCAGGCAGAAGAAGTAGACAGAACTTGGGAACCACAATGAGTGAAGGCGGTAGCTTCTATTCTCACACGGGGACAAGAAGGGACATGGCCAGCAACAAGGAATAAGGATGTAGGAAGAAAACAATAAGCAGAGGAGATAAGACGTGAATAAACGAACGAAATAACGTATAAAAGACAGAGATAAGAAGCAAAAGACCAAGCGTAGGGGGTATTAAAAAAAAAAGCTTACGCAAAAACAAAAGCTGGAAAAATCAGGTCAAGCTGATAAAAACTTGGGTAAACAAGAGGGACAGGATAAAGGGAGAGAGAGAAGGAGGAAGAAGCCAAGCAAGAGGACCGTGGGTGGGGGATACGAACGAGGAAGCCTCACGCCGTTGGGAGAGACGAGGCCCGACGCTCTGAGAGGAGGGTATCAGAGCTGGCGGAGCCCAGGAGGTGGGTAGCCTCCTATCTCCAGTAGGGGCTGATGGGGAGGAGGTGGGTAGCCTCCGCCCTCCGACGGTAGCTGCAGGGGGAAGAAGTAACCAGTTGATGGGGAGAGGTCAGTCGCTTATACCCACCGACTTTACCCCTTCAAGTATGTTTATTGAGACAAGAAAGACATACATCTCAAAGGGATAGACTATTAGGCTATTTCTTAGACTTAGACTTAGACTTAGGCTATTTCTACCCCCCTTTACCCCTTTCCGCTAACCTGGAGCCCCATACCAAGCAGATTAACTGCCCAATTATCCTCTATAGACCTCTTCTATAGAATTATCTTCGATAGAATTATCCTCTTACAAAATTACAAAGTCTATTATTAAGTTAACACTAAAGACTCAAACAATTTGCTCAAGGGAAGAGAGAGCATTAGTATCATACCCATTCATAATTACGTTATTAATGTCTAGTTAAGTACATGGCCAGTTATACACTTCTACCAATTTAGTCTTACGTGAATTTATTGACAAATACAGGATCACTATGATGCGAAATATTAGTATTATTGAGAACTTAAAAGTACTTTCAGACAATGACAATGGGGCCATTAACAATGACATTCAGACAATGACAATGGGGCCATTAAGCCCCAAGGTTATTACAACAGGTGTTCTATATGTCACAAACACCTCTACCACAAACACAATGAAACAAACACATGCACAACACACGCTGGAATACAAAGCTTACTCTCTCATGGGGCCAGATTCACGAAGCAGTTACGCAAGCACTTACGAACGTGTACATCTTTCCTCAATCTTTGACGGCTTTGGTTACATTTATTAAACAGTTTACAAGCTTGAAAGCTTCCCAATCAACTGTTGTTATTGTTATAATCAGCCTCCTGGTGCTTCGCAGCTCATTAACTGTTTAATAATTGTAAATAAAGCTGCCAAAGATTGAGAAAAGATGTACAGGTTCGTAAGTGCTTGCGTAACTGCTTCGTGAATCTGGCCCATGGTCCTTATATCTATAACACACACTTTTCTAAGACTAACATTACGATATCACACTACTGTCTGCGTGCATCTCTGCGCCAACACCTAAACTTAATTTGTCAAGATTGTAAATGCAGCTTTTATTAATAATGTTAAAATCGGCCTGAAATGTGTTATTAGAGAAAACGAAGTCCTGCCCAGTGACTGAAGCTAGGTCGCTCAGGTGTGAGCATAAGACGTAGACTACTCTGCTACTTGACTCCTCTTATTACTAACAATTTTCAATGCGTCAAGTTTGTGGGCGACTGAACGTAGCAAAACTTAAATATATAAGAATTCCTTCAGGTTTAAACAAGGTGATGCCGATAGCCCTTTAATTATGAATGTAAAACAAGCTTCGTGCAGGCCGGCGTTCGATCCCCCGATTGTCCATGTGATTGGGCACCGTTTCTCCTGTCATATCCGGGGCTCCAAGGTTGTCCTCATGTCCCTTCCATGTGCTATATACAGTCATACTGGCTTAGCACTTTCTCCTCATTCTCTCTCTACTTATTCCCCTCATTCCTCCTCATTCTGAATGTAGCTAATGGCCAGCACATCCCAGGTCGCCTTTACCAATATACTAATAAGGTTTTAAATTTCTAATCAATATAATGGTTTTAATACAGAAAAGTTCGCATTAGCATTTAACAATCTGATTATATAAGCCTCATGTTTAAAAAACAAATCTAAATATTAGTTATTAGCCATGACATATTTTATCTAAAACTGAAATTTACATATATATATATATATATATATATATATATATATATATATATATATATATATATATATATATATATATATATATATATATATATATATATGAGACAGTGTCAGACCACGGAGGAAAATTTAAACAGGAATTACCTTAATTCCTTAAGTACCTTCGTATATTAATACATCTTCAGAAGGAGTGGAGAAGATGTATTAATATACGAAAGTACTTAAGGAAATTCCTGTTTCAAATTTTCCTCCGTGGTCTGACACTGTTTACATATTTATGCACATTTCACGTGTTTATTTTTCGTGATTTACACACACACACACACACACACACACACACATATATATATATATATATATATATATATATATATATATATATATATATATATATATATATATATATATATATATATATATATATATATATATATATATATAATTTTCAAACCCTAACGTTTCGAATACCTCGTCATATTCATCAGATCTAAAACACAGTAAAGTCATAAGTTACAACTAACCAGCAGAGCAAGAAGGTAATACTAAAGAGTCTCTTTACTACAAGATAAGAGAAGGTACTGACACAAGAATATTCACCACACCACAAACACCATCTCAACTTACATGACCAGATCAAACACACTAGAATTGTGACAAACATTCACCAAGGATAGCAATACTAACTCGAAATTACAATAGCAAGTCATTCAAAACCTTATACAAACACGTGAGAAATAAAACACATTACAGATTAAACAGTTGCACACATTATAACTAAAGGCAAATACTATACAATGATAAACATCAATTATTATACTCAGTACCTCAATAAAGAAGAATTAATTATAAGGCTTCGGTCAAAATACGCACCAGAAACTCAAATCAAGGTAAACTGAAAGATACTAAAGTTTACAAAAAAAAGCATTAATCAAAGGAAATCCAAAATCTAAGCGTATATATATATATATATATATATATATATATATATATATATATATATATATATATATATTGTAACTAATAGGCAGAACGAACTACATGGCTTAGTATGCAAGGCCCGATTTGCCTAACAAGCAGAGTTTTCCTGAAATTACATACTTTTCTATATGGTTTTTCTTATGGAATGATAAAGTTTTCTATTATATTATATATATATAATATTTTTTCGTTTTCTTCATGGTATTGTGGAAAAATATAATATCTTCTCGAATACGAATCCTTCACTATTCGAATCGTGAAGGATTCGAATCCTAACCTAACTTAAGTGTATCACTCTTGTAATATCTTCCATTAACTCGCGTAGGTGGTGATGACGTCATAGTCTTTCAGAAATTGTCATAAATTTTAGGCTTATTATTGTCAAAGCGTAACAGGCTCGTTTGAAGATCATGTTCATGACAGGAATTATCAACATGCTGGAGGATCATGTTTTTTGAAGCTCATTTGCTTCTTGTTCTGTCCTTTGCTAATTGTTCTGTCCATTCTGTTACGCTGTTTGATCTCCGGATTTGTTAACGGTTTGTGTTTCACTCTTTTTGCTAGAAAAGACGAGTTTTCAGCGTTCTCTTGGAGATGCAAATGTTATATCCTCTTCAAATTGTTGAATCATGTTCTCATCGTTTACTCGAAAGAGTACATTCATTTATACATTCAGAATTTATACAGAAAGCTCAGACAACTCTTTAATCATTTTGGGACGCGTCCAGTGCGTGCGTGGGTGTACTCACCTAGTTGTGTTTGCGGAGGTTGAGCTCTGGCTCTTTGGTCCGGATTTGGTCCGGTGTGCGTGAGTGTGTACACTAGTGTTTATATTAAAGCCAGTCACAAGTCCTGTGCAGTCACAAGTCCTGTGCAGTCACAAGTCCTGTGCAGTCACAAGTCCTGTGCAGTCACAAGTCCTGTGCAGCCACCGCCCTCTAATTGGGAGTGTGGCATGGTGGACCCCATCAAGAACAAGCTGGGAGGAGGTTATCTTGAGATGATTTCGGGGGCTTTAGTGTCCCCGCGGCCCGGTCCTCGACCAGGCCTCCACCCCCAGGAAGCAGCCCGTGACAGCTGACTAACACCCAGGTACCTATTTTACTGCTAGGTAACAAGGGCATAGGGTGAAAGAAACTCTGCCCAATGTTTCTCGCCGGCGCCTGGGATCGAACCCAGGACCACAGGATCACAAGTACAGCGTGCTGTCCGCTCGGCCGACCGGCTCCCTATTCGAGGATCCCATTCGACTGCTCCGGCAACACAACTCTGACGATAGGAGTCAGTCTTTGTGTTGACAGAGCTCTTCGCTACCATTACCCAGCCGGGGACCCCATTCCCCATCACCATTAGTACCCATCACTGGCATAAATCCCGTTCCTTTGCCCCATCAATATCAGGTTTGAAAGCAACTCTCATTCCTTGAACGCCATCAATACCAAGCACAAGATTAAAGCTCGATTGATTGATTGATGAAGATTAAGCTCCCCCCCCCCCAAGAGGTGGCACGGGCATGAATAGCCCGTAGCTCCTTTGTGGGGTACTATTAATACCAGGACTGTAGGGGTTGAGTCCCACGGGAGACATCTCCCGTCACGCAGGGTGCAGTCGCACCTCCACAGATCTCCAATATCAGCTCTTGATACTGGTAGTGGCTCCAAAGGGCCACCACTTACGGGCTATTCATGCCCGTGCCACCTTTTGGGTGGCTTAATCTTCATCAATCAATCAATCGGGTCGAGTCCAAGTTATAATGGCTTGGCACTTTTCCCCTTGTTGATTCCCTCCCTCCGGGGTTCAAGGTCCTCCTGCGGCCCGGTCTCTCACCAGACCGCCACGACAAGAGGAGAAAACTATTATCTCCCAACGCTCATCACCCGATATACCCGAGATATGAGACATAGCGACACTGGGGGCAAGAACGGCGTGACATCACGCATTCGTGTATCGGACATGAATTCCGTCAAATATTTCTCGATGCGAAAATTCTCTCACTCGGGAAAGACTGTATTTACAAATATCGAGGCCTCGCTCGACGGCCCTGCGTGGTGCTTTTGTTCAGTGTGTATGAATGAATGCTTGCATGTGAGCAGGTGCGATCGCAGCAGGGGGGAAAGAGAGCCGTAGCGCCAGAGAGAGAAAGTGAGAGAGCCACGGAAAGGGAGAAAGGGAGCCAGGGAGAGGGAGGGAGCCAGATAGTGGGAGAGCGACGGGAGAGTAGCCGCAGAAGAGGGGCAGGACTATGATGGGTGTGGTAATCCCTCCCTGGCACAGTAACGACGAGGTCAAAGGCGCCCGAATAGCGGCCACACCACAGGTCAAGGGTCAACAAGCAGAGGATACGGAATATTAGCAGACAGCGTCGTTGAGGCGGCAAGAGGTGAAGATCTTGTACACAGACACACAAGGCGCTGCTGCACGCAAGTGTCCCCCACACACACACACACAGGGGCCTCGTAGCCTGGTGGATAGCGCGCAGGACTCGTAATTCTGTGGCGCGGGTTCGATTCCCGCACGAGGCAGAAACAAATGGGCAAAGTTTCTTTCACCCTAAGTGCCCCTGTTATCTAGCAGTAAATAGGTACCTGGGAGTTAGTCAGCTGTCACGGGCTGCTTCCTGGGGTGTGTGTGTGTGTGTGGTGTGGAAAAAAAAACAAAAAAAAAAAAATTAGTAAGTTAGTAGTTAGTTAGTAAACAGTTGATTGACAGTTGAGAGGCGGGCCGAAAGAGCAAAGCTCAACCCCCGCTAAAACACAACTAGTAAACACACACACACCAAACTCAACGTGAGTGTGAGAGGCCGTAATGTTCTATGTGGTCTTTGCACGACGCAAAATATCGACAACACCAAATTTTATGGAAAGTCGCGGCTCACAAATATCCACATCTTTTATGTATCAGTAGCTTAGGTGGGTTGCTTGGGTGCGTACGTTTCTGGCTGGGTTAGGACGCCGTATTTCCCACGTTGTGGCAACAGGGACTGACTCCACAGTGCGACATTTCCACGAGCAAGTGGACATGTACTAAAGACACCCTGCACGTATCATGCTCCCAGATGATTGATGAAGATTAAGCCACCCCAAGAGGTGGCACGGGTATGAATAACCCGTAAATGATCTGAGCGTCTCTCTCTCCATTAGAAGACGACCCTGAGTCACCTGGTTAATGTTGTCAATTACCAACGTGGGCTTTTCTGACGAGGCCAAGGAGAGGTGAGTCCCGTTATGTCTCGCAGCAACAGTATCCCAAACCTGCAACAGTATCCCAAACCTGCAACAACACCCCAAACCTGCAACAGTATCCCAAACCTGCAACAACACCCCAAACCTGCAACAGTATCCCAAACCTGCAACAACACCCCAAACCTGCAACAGTATTCCAAACCTGCAACAACACCCCAAACCTGCAACAGTATCCCAAACCTGCAACAACACCCCAAACCTGCAACAGTATCTCAAACCTGCGCTGCCAAAAGTGGCCCGAAAAAACTAATCGAATCCCCGGAGAGAATATCCTCAAAATGAAGATGGATCCACCGAGAATTATTACGAGGCAGTTCGCCAGACTTTGCACCTTATCATTTAATTTTTTGATACATTAATATATGAAGAAACCCCTTCCCCAAAAAACACACACTTATCGGGCCATCCCCCTTTTTTCTAAACTTAAAAATTCTATAATCCTGGTCACAAGAGTCAGATATGGTCTGTTGTACTATTTCCAGGGCTTGCAAGACGCGCCTAAAATTCCAGTCAATGGAATATGTCGCAGATGATTCGTGGTGTAGCTGATCTGTGTATCAAGTAAGCTAGTCGACGCTGAGAAGCTAGACACAATGTCAGATCAGCTAACAGTGTGTTATATAGCCACATTGGCTTAGAAACCAGGCATGGTTGAACAAGCCAGAGGGGGGGAATAGACGAAGGGGTGAAAATGAGCAGCCCCATGTCAAGGAAATATCCGCAAGCTCGTCTATCCTTTCCATAGACGAGTTTGATTGAAGTTGGCTAGGCCATCATGGGATGATGAGGGATGGGGATAGGGAGGAAAAGGGGTAGGAGGACGGAAGGGCAGCGGGGAGGGGAGGGGACGGAATAAATTATTGACACACATCCTCTCCCATATCTAGGTCCTTCACCTCCCTCTTCATCCAGAAAGATTCTTGCTACTGACCCAATTCTGTGTGTGCGATCGCAGGAAGTTACAGTCCAACCACATATTACGCCGCCCAACACCCACACCACAGATGACGTACGGGCAAGTGTCTGACTGGCAAGAAATGAACATCGACGAAGCCTCCAGGAACGTAGACTCTAGTCGCCTTTGTTGTAATCAGACTCCCTGTCGAGTCGCCGCACCGAGTTTCCCGCCATTTCCTTTTCTTCCTCGTCCATCTGCGCCGCCGTCAGCGGGTTTCCTCCTCCAGGATGATGAGAAAGGGGCGCCGGCGGGAAGGGCGGAGGAAAGGGACGCAGGGGAGGAAAGGGACGTAGAGGAGCTCCGGAGGTGAGCGGAAGGTAAGCGTTGAGAAACAACGATAAGAGTTCGAGGAGGAACTCTGGTCGAGGTCTTCCTCGAGGTGGGATGTGAGGTACAAGGTAGAGAGAGTCCGGTGAGAGGGTTCGAGGTTCATTAATTCATAATGTCTACGTCATTAGTACTTGTTTCAGTACTTGGCTCCAAGCCCTACATAGCCGGTTTCAGTACTTGACCCCAGTACTTCAGACTTAGGTTTTTAAGGAGGTTATCTTGAGGTTATCTTGAGATGATTTCGGGGCTTTAGTGTCCCAGCGGCCCGGTCCTAGACCAGGCCTCCACCCCCAGGAAGCAGCCCGTGACAGCTGACTAACACCCAGGTACCTATTTTTTCTGCTAGGTAACAGGGGCAGAGGGTGAAAGAAACTCTGACAATAATAGGAGGAAATAATATATTTCTCGAGAAAGTCTCAAATGTGCTTAATAAGTTTGATATGCTCTTCAAGGTCTTTGAATTGAATTTGAATTTGTTCAAGGTCTTTGAATTTGTCTTTGAATTGAATTTCTAACGCAAGACCGAGTGCAGATGCACGTTCTTTAATTATTGGAGCTGATAAACGATATATATAGGCCTAGGTGATTGGTGACAGGCAGACTCAAATATTCACCATTAATGATTACGGAAAAAAAAAATTAAAGGGGCAACAAATACAAGATTACAGAAGCATGTAACACAATTGAAGAGAGTTACAAATTAGGATTAATTAAACATTTCACACCTATAATCACGTAGATCAGCGTTACATGAATGTTTTAATTTCTTAACACACACACACACACACACACACACACACACACACACACACACACACACACACACACACACACACACACACACACACACACACACACACACACACACACACACACACGCACACACACACACACACACACACGCCGACAAGTCTGTTAGGAGCTATTATAGACATTCCACAAGATCCTGAACTTCAGAGTTTTATCCACGCTGCGAGAGGGCCGCCCCAGTTAAGGCGAACTCCTTCAGCCTGATGTCCATGCCACTTTAATTAAAAAAATTAATTTCCTGAGTATTTACACCTGTTTACAATGTTGATCTATCTATCTATCTATATATATATTACTTGTCTATTTATTTACGCTAGTTTTAATGTATGGTATTGAAAAAATATCGAGGAAACTCGAGACTTGTACAGATAATCTAAAGCTTCGGGTATTTTGAGGCCGGCTAGGCTCAAAGGCTCTGTTCCTTTAAGGCTCTAGGGCTCAAAGGCTCTGAGGCTCTACGGCTCTAAGGCTCCGAGGCTCTGAAGCTCTAAGGCTCTGAGGGTCTAAGGCTCTGAGGTTCTAAGGCTCTGAAGCTCTAAGACTGAGGCTCTGTGGCTCTAAGGTTCTAAGCCTCTGAGGGTCTAAGGCTCTAAGGTTCTAAGGTTCTACGGCTCTAAGCATCTTGGAGCGCCTGAAGACCCGTGCCTGTGTTTTAACTGTTCTCCGAGCGGTCCCGACCTACCACTCCGTAAGAAATACAACCGTTTTGCCTAACAAGAAACGTTCTAACCCAAGCAACCCCCCTAACCCCATCACGGCAGATAGGTGTCAAATATCAAGGTGAATTTATTTATCATTGCCGAATTGTTAACGTATTGGCCAGTTCCGTCATAAATGCGACGTAGTGAGATGAGAAACTGGTCGGAAGTGGGTTATCTCACTCGAGACTGTTCACTCGAAATCCACTCCGTAAAAAATGCAGCCTAAGAAAAAGCGTCAAAACCTAGACTGATAATCATTAGACCCATGAAACGTCAACATTAGAGTGGTTTTCCAATTCCATAAAGCACCGCATTTTTTACGCCTTGGGGGTCGACTGTGTATAAACTGCAGTGTGTGTGTCTATGTTCAGTAAGAGCAGTTGTGATCTGCCTCAAATGGTGATAAATATCAGACTAACATAAACTCTTCAAATTGTGATGTTTGAAAACACTGCTCAAATTACATTTGAATCATACACACACACACACACACTAATCACCTCAAACCCACTGATACTTAGCGGCCCTGTGTATGTTCTTCTGTATTTGCTATGTATAAACACCCGCGCAGGAACGACATTACAAAACGAAGGTTGTATTCCTGAGTCTCCGTGATGAACGGTTCTGTACTATGTATATTTTGTATTAAGTATTTGTGTATATTTTTGTATTATTATACTTTGATCCAGAAGGGGAAATAGGGACAGGATGAGCGTTTATATATATATATATATATATATATATATATATATATATATATATATATATATATATTCCAGTAACATTTAAATGTGTACACCTCTCCATACAACCTACAGCTGTCCCCAATTCATACAGTTTACATTGATACAGTTGCTCGTACAGTTCAAGTCATTCACATGTCAAGCCGTTCTAACAGTTCATACACATATTCCCGACATACAAATTACCACACCTGTCTGTGTAGTTTTAATGTCCACCTAGCCATGGGTCTCGGCATTACTTGTAGACATGTAGGAGAAAATATCATGTCTGTAGGCAGGCAAAGAGAGAGAGACAGACAGACAGCTAGAGTAGACAGCCAAATTAGAACAGGGTCGAGGGATAAAGTTCGAAAATGGGGTACAAGACAACAAGTAGATAGACTATCGATAGGCATGAGAGAGAGTCATCACAAGAGAGCAACGTCCTGGTAGATTAAATCCAGCTGAGTGACTCAAGGCTTTGAGGCCCCACCAGAGCTTAATGTAATGATGTTGAGACGAGGAGGAGCCGGAGGTGTAGAGGAGCATCTTAATGGATAGTGTAAGGGGTTCCTTGGAGGTGTGGAGGAGCCCCTTCCCCAGGATAGTGGGGGTTCCTTGGAGGTGTGGGTTGGATCCTGAAGTGGTCAGGTTGTGGGCAAGAGTATGGGATAGATTACCCCCAGAAATACTTGGCTCTGAAGAAGTGTAGAAGAGGAATGAAAAAAGAGAACGAATTCTAGAGTGATCTGGATATGTGTGTGTGTGTATTTGAGAGAGAGAGGCAGAGAGGAGTGAGGGGAGGTGATAGAGAGGGACGTCAAGGACTTTCTCTCTCTCTCTCTCTCTCTCTCTCTCTCTCTCTCTCTCTCTCTCTCTCTCTCTCTCTCTATCTCTCTCTCTCTCTCTCTCTCTCTCTCTCTCTCTCTGATATCTCTCCCAGTCTTCCCCTATCTCACCTTTTCCCTCCCTCTCTTCTTCACATATCTTCTTATCTCATCCCCTCTTCCTGCTTTCTCCCTTCTATCTCTTTCCCTCTTCCGATACATTCCCACCCTCTTCCCTTCACCACCCATTTCCCTCTCCTTTGCCTCACACACACACACACACACACACACACACACACACACACACACACACACACACACACACACACACACACACACACCTCTATCCAAGTTAGGCGGGATCCAAGAGTCAATGCTCGATCCTGCAGGCACAAATAGGGGAGTACACACACACACACAGACACACAGACACACACACACACACACACACACACACACACACACACACACACACACACACACACACACACACACACACACACACACACACACACACACACACACAGAACATTTAAAATAACACAAACCATAAGTACATCACTATTTCAAACAACATAGTTCATATTTTTCCTGTTTCCTCCCAGTTGGTACAAGGTATGATGAGTAGAATATTGGTCCATTTTCCCAAGATCAGTGAATAATGTTTTGTAACACCATAAGAAAAACTGCTTTGTTTTGATTTACTTTTCCTGAGTTATTTCACAAAACGGGAGCCAGCCAAGGGGGGCAAAATAGTTTTAGAGCACGTACGTGGCCTTGGCACTCTGTTCTCACTTTAAATTTTTTTGCGACCCTTTGCCTTTTGACCTTTAGGGGCCTCGTAGCCTGGTGGATAGCGCGCAGGACTCGTAATTCTGTGGCGCGGGTTCGATTCCCGCACGAGGCAGAAACAAATGGGCAAAGTTTCTTTCACCCTGAATGCCCCTGTTACCTAGCAGTAAATAGGTACCTGGGGAGTTAGTCAGCCACGGGCTGCTTCCTGGGGGTGGAGGCCTGGTCGAGGACCGGGCCGCGGGGACACTAAGCCCCGAAATCATCTCAAGATAACCTCAAGATAACCCGACCATGATGGGCACGTACTCGACAGGAATCATGGATGTCAAGTCTAGCGAGGCTGATTTAAAGATATAAGATCTAACGAGAGATATATCTAGGCATATATATATATATATCTAAAGAAATATATATATACAAAATATCTAGATATACAAAATATCTAGAGAGATATGGCTTGGCCTTGTCTCTCACCTGGCTTTGTCTCTCACTTGGCCTTGGTCTCTCACCTGGTTTTGTCTCTGACCTGGCCTACCTGGTCCCCTACCCCTCTGACCTGGCCCTGTTCAGCTACGCCAAACACCGGACAAGCTCTACCAGCATAAGCCCAGATTAATGCATCCAGTTACCAGCTTAACTCTAATGGACTTCCAGATACAAATATTATTGATTTCCCATCGTTGTTTTAGGGAGTGAAGACCTACACTGAGTCCTGATAACGCTGTAGAGTAACTCAACAACGTATCACACACACACACACACACACACACACACACACACACACACACACACACACACACACACACACATACACACACACATAGAGCCCAGTAGGCTCAGGAATCTGTACACCAGTTGATTGACAGTTGAGAGGCGGGACCAAAGAGCCAAAGCTCAACCCCCGCAAGCACAAATAGGTGAGTACAAATAGGTGAATAGGTGAGTACACACACACACACACACACACACACACACACACAGGACAAGAGAGGTTCTAAGGCTCTAAGACACAAACAAGGTATTAAGTGAGCAAAATGACGGATCTGGGAAGGAAGTTACATTAAATCTGAATAACAGAAGCCCCACCCATACATATATTAAATAACCTCAGAGCGTAATTGGCCGACAGGTGATCGGGGGTCTCAGCAAACTACTAAAGTAAACATTAATATCTCTTATAAACAACTTATGTAAGAAATGTAGTGCAAGAAAAAGTAAGCCGCGCTATGACTCCTAAGACTATATATAGCACTTGGAAGGGGTCAGGATAAGGATATGGGATGGGACGAGGGAAAGGAATGGTAGAACAAAAGGGAAATGAAGTTGGAAGAGTTAGCCGTGCGGTACAAATTCACAAGTTTAAAACGGCCATTGAATTAGGATCAATGACAGTTACAGCCTCACCTCTGTGCCAGGTAAGTCCACTACGGGCTCACCATAGACCGTGCTACTTGCAACTTTGTGTTCCCAATAGCTGAATCTAAAACAACAATAGGAGCAAGGGAGACAGTTGTATCTTGGTGTTTGTTTAAAGATAATAATGATTTACCAATACGTGTACACAGGAACCTAAAGTTCACCCCATCAATGTTTTCACGGAAATGTGGTAAAAGTTAAAAAAAAATGAAATCATATCACACGTGACAATCTTCCAAGATTGACAGTCTTGGCTTTAAGACAACTGAAGTTAATTGCCGAACAGGCAAATCAAATTGCAAATCAAAGACAATAAATCATTCACTGATAATTGGATTACTTGTCTGGAGCGCATGATATGAACGCTTGGGATAGGGTTATTTTTTTCAATTCTTTGACCATGTCGTAGCTCAGTCAATGAAGGCAGCGTCAGGGATGCTATCGGACGTAAGTTCGAATCCTCATCACGGCTCTTGTGGATTTGTTCATTTGATGCATCAGGCTATTGTGATTTCTGTGTGTAGTGTAGTGTAGAGTTAATTTTGTCTAGGAATGAAGTTGTTGCAGTGACTAATTCGTTGAATTCTGGGGTAAGAAGAGCTGATCTGGGCTTGAACTGTTAGATAATAATAGAGCTATGGGTATGGGTTTAGGGGAAGGGAAGGGAATTATCAGCAGTGAGCGCCAAGCCATTACGACTATATAACACTGGGAAGGGGGACAGGATAAGGATTTGGGATGGGACGGTGGGAAAGGAATGATGTCCAACCACCTGGACGGTCGGGGATTGAACGCTGACTTGCATGAAGCGAGACCATAGCTCTACCGTCCACCCCAAGTGGTTGGGTGGGTTTAGGGGAAATGATGCAATAAAGGCAGGAATCTTAAAAAACAAATTGACGAATTAAGTGCTCTTATCTGCACAGAAACACTAGATATTACAGCAGTAACCGACAGACACGCGGACGAATGTAGCAAGCATCTTGAGGTTATCTTGAGATGATTTCGGGGCTTTAGTGTCCCCGCGGCCCAGTCCTCGACCAGGCCTCCACCCCCAGGAAGCAGCCCGTGACAGCTGACTAACACCCAGGTACCTATTTTACTGCTAGGTAACAGGGGCATAGGGTGAAAGAAACTCTGCCCATTGTTTCTCGCCGGCGCCTGGGATCGAACCCAGGACCACAGGATCACAAGTCCAGCGTGCTGTCCGCTCGGCCGACCGGCTCCCCCGGGAACAATTAGGTGAATATCAAATTAGGGAATTCAACATATTTCACACAGATTAGAGAGAGGAGAAGCAGCAATATATGATATGGAAAACAAATGTATTTTCAATTAAATGCAGTTACCTTAATTCTTGTTTCTCTTCAACACTCGCAATTGCAGGGTGGAATTTCAATTGAATAATGGACCCTCAGTAGTTATATATACAGTGTAGCCATTACCACCTTGAGAGGCTGCGTGAGGCGGCATTTGTGATTCTGTGGTCCTGGGTTCGATCCCAGGCGCCGGCGAGAAACAATGGGCAGAGTTTTTTTTCACCCTATGCCCCTGTTACCTAGCAGTAAAATAGGTACCTGGGTGTTAGTCAGCTATCACGGGCTGCTTCCTGGGGGTGGAGGCCTGGTCGAGAACCGGGCCGCGGGGACACTAAAAAGCCCCGAAATCATCTCAAGATAACCTCAAGAAGATACCCAGGAAGCTCGAATGAAGTGATGCCCAGTCAGTTCTGATTCCATTTTTCCGACTCGCAGCGGGTTTTGATCGCCTTTCTCCGACCCGAAGGAGGTTCTGATCAACTTTCTCCGACCCACAGTGGGTTCTGATCGCCTTTCTCCGACCCGAAGGAGGTTCTGATCAACTTTCTCGCTCTCCTTTTCTCCCTGGAGGAGGATCGTAGCACCATCAACAGCAAACTTCCCAAGAATGCCTCAATTGTACGCTCCTCCAGCTGGAAAAGTTATGGAATCTCCGTAGAGTTAACGTTGGAACTTCGCAGACGGGCCCAAGAGCTATGGTCCGCTTGCCACATATGCACTACATTCCCGCCACTAGATACATATAAGCATGCGTTATATAGAGAGGAATACATTAGTTTCCCACAGCTTGGCTACACCACTCACAAAGTTCTCACAGCTTGGCTACACCACTCACAAAGTTCTCACAGCTTGGCTACACCACCCACAGTTCCCACAGCTTGGCTACACCACCCACAAAGTTCTCACAGCTTGGCTACACCACCCACAGTTCTCACAGCTTGGCTACACCACTCACAAAGTTCTCACAGCTTGGCTACACCACTCACAAAGTTCCCACAGCCTGGCTACACCACCCACAGTTCCCACAGCTTGGCTACACCACCCACAAAGTTCTCACAGCTTGGCTACACCACCCACAGTTCTCACAGCTTGGCTACACCACCCACAGAGTTCCCACAGCCTGGCTACACCACCCACAGTTCCCACAGCCTGGCTACACCATCCACAGTTCCCACAGCTTGGCTACACCACCCACAGTTCTCACAGCTTGGCTACACCACCCACAGTTCTCACAGCTTGGCTACACCACCCACAGAGTTCCCACAGCCTGGCTACACCACCCACAGTTCCCACAGCTTGGCTACACCACCCACAAAGTTCTCACAGCTTGGCTACACCACCCACAGTTCTCACAGCTTGGCTACACCACCCACAGAGTTCCCACAGCCTGGCTATACCACCCACAGTTCCCACAGCTTGGCTACACCACCCACAGTTCCCACAGCTTGGCTACACCACCCACAGAGTTCCCACAGCCTGGCTACACCACCCACAGTTCCCACAGCCTGGCTACACCACCCACAGTTCCCACAGCTTGGCTACACCACCCACAGTTCCCACAGCTTGACTACACCACTCACAGTTCCCACAGCTTGGCTACACCACCCACAGAGTTCCCACAGCTTGGCTACACCACCCACAGAGTTCCCACAGCTTGGCTACACCACCCACAGTTCCCACAGCCTGGCTACACCACCCACAGTTCCCACAGCCTGGCTACACCACCCACAGTTCCCACAGCCTGGCTACACCACCCACAGTTCCCACAGCCTGGCTACACCACCCACAGTTCCCACAGCCTGGCTACACCACCCACAGTTCTCACAGCCTGGCTACACCACCCACAGTTCCCACAGCTTGGCTACACCACCCACAGAGTTCCCACAGCCTGGCTACACCACCCACAGTTCCCACAGCTTGGCTACACCACCCACAGTTCCCACAGCCTGGCTACACCACCCACAGTTCTCACAGCCTGGCTACACCACCCACAGTTCCCACAGCTTGGCTACACCACCCACAGTTCCCACAGCCTGGCTACACCACCCACAGTTCTCACAGCCTGGCTACACCACCCACAGTTCCCACAGCTTGGCTACACCACCCACAGTTCTCACAGCTTGGCTACACCACCCACAGTTCTCACAGCCGGGCTACACCACCCACAGTTCCCACAGCCTGGCTACACCACCCACAGTTCTCACAGCCTGGCTACACCACCCACAGTTCCCACAGCTTGGCTACACCACCCACAGTTCTCACAGCTTGGCTACACCACCCACATCATCCTCAAAGTTACCTTGAGCTGGTTCCTATGATGCCTGTCTGAGCGGGGCTCCTGGTTGACAGTCTAGTCAACCAGGCTGTCAGAGCCCTCTGCGCACAGCCAGGATAACCAAGATAGCGCCTGGAGGCATATATCACGCGCCCTCGTCAACCCAACTGCAACCAAGCTTTCTCAATGTGGTTTGATCACCACGCTAAACTTTCACACACCTTTAAGTTCGTCGACGCCTTCCCCCTCAGACCCTTTCTTTCTTTTTTTCATTCATTCATTCTTTCATTCATTGAATATTGTGTGTTCCAGCCTCATCTTACAAGATACTGGTCGCAGCTCTTGCGCTGGTCTCTGCAGCTCTTATTATTGTTAGTACTATCCCCTCTACTACACCTTACTTGGCTCCTCAGCTCTCTCTTGCCTATTTATTGCCTGTCTCCACTTCCTCATCACAATCGACTTGAGAATGGTCCCGGACGGACCGAAACGTCGTCGTCCCTTCACCTTCTAGTGTGTGGTCTGGTCAAGATACTGGTCGTCTGCCTCTATCATGGCATCCCCTGATATACGTGCTATTTATTACATCCCCTGATATTACATCCCCTGATATTGCATCCCCTGATATTACAGCCCCTGATATTACAGCCCCTGATATTACAGCCCCTGATATTACATCCCCTGATATTACATCCCCTGATATTACAGCCCCTGATATTACAGCCCCTGATATTACATCCCCTGATATTACATCCCCTGATATTACAGCCCCTGATATTACAGCCCCTGATATTACAGCCCCTGATATTACATCCCCTGACATTACAGCCCCTGATATTACAGCCCCTGATATTTCAGCCCCTGATATTACATCCCCTGATATTACAGCCCCTGATATTACATCCCCTGATATTACAGCCCCTGATATTACAGCCCCTGATATTACAGCCCCTGATATTACAGCCCCTGATATAGGTACTCGGCAGACGATTACAGGTAAATATTCAACATATGGCATTAGTAGTAAATAGGTACCTGGGAGTTAGACAGCTGCCACGGGCTAATTTCTGGGGACGTGTAACAAACAGGGGCCCTGGTTGAGAACCGGGCCGCGGGGACGCTAAGCCCCGAAATCATCTCAAGATAACCTCAAGAAGGGCAAAAGACAGTGCATAAATATGTTATGTACAAGGCAACATAAGAAACTCTACATAAGGAGAAGTGTAGTAAAAAAAAATATTATTTTAATTACCTTTTAATACTTGGTTGGGAGGCCTTTTTTCTTGTAATTAAAAGGAAGAAAAGACCTTTTTTTCTTCTTCGCGGCTTGGAGACGTCGGGGTTACCTTGAGATGCTTCCGGGGCTTTGCATCCTTGCGGCCCGGTCGTCGACCAGGCCTCGACCAGGGGCTCGACCAAGGGCCTGGTCGAGGTCTGGTAAATTGACATTTACCATAAATTGACAGCAAGATTACGTCGGCAGTCAAGGAAAACTTTTTCCCCAGCACTCACGTATAGCTACTTCCAGAATAGGAATTGATTGATTGATGAAGGTTGAGCCATCCAAGAGGTGGCACGGGCATGAATAGCCCGTAAGCCAGCTTGAGATTGGAGGGTATATTTGCCCTGCAGATGTTGGGGAGCCGGTCGGCCGAGCGGACAGCACACTGGACTTGTGATCCGGTGGTCCCGGGTTCGATCCTGGGCACCGGCGAGAAACAATGAGCAGAATTTCTTTCACCTTATGCCCCTGTTACCTAGCAGTAAAATAGGTACCTGGGTGTTAGTCAGCTGTCACGGGCTGCTTCCTGGGGGTGGAGGCCTGGTCGAGGACCGGGCCGCGGGGACACTAGAGCCCCGAAATCATCTCAAGATAACCTCAAGATAGATCCCTCTTGACAATGAGGGGGATCAGTTGTCAATTGGGAAGCTGACAAGTTTGGCGGCGTTAGCTGGAGGACAGTCTTGCTGGAACATGTTTTCTTGACCCAGCGCCATAAGTGAAATCTGGGTGCTTGTCGACTGTCCTTTCCGCCAGGGCGGTCACTACCCGCTAGACGGTACACGGGAACAATTCTTTTTTGTGCTTAGATGCTTCATAGGTGCCATACGAACAACGTAATGCCACTAGCAAAACAAACAGGAGCGTAAAACACACGACAATGAGGAATGACACGACGCGCAACACACCTGCACTCTATGACAGCCGCCGGGCTACTGACTCTTGCTATTAGGTACGCCGCGGGGTATAGCCAGACACGCCGTGACGTCACGTCAGCCACACGTCATTACTCCAAAATATTTCACTCACAAGCGCGCCATTATTGTAATATCAAGACTATTATCTGAAAGAAACAATGGACGAACAGAAGTGAAAACTTTTCTTGTGATTGGTTACAGCCCGTCCTCCTGAGTGTTGCCAACGTCGCTAAACTGACGTACTAAAATCCCCGAACCTAACCAACCCGAGGTTAGGCCCACGAACAGAAAACGGGACATCACATCTAATAACACATCTCATTTAGACGTATACTTTACCAAAGGCCAAAAAAACCTGATGTAAAATAAAAAAAAAAAAAAATGAAGCGGCTGGCGAAAATGACGTCATGTCCCGTTTTCTGTTCGCAGGTCCTCGGGTTGGTTAGGTTCGGGGACTTTAATACATCAGTTTAGCGACGTTGGGAACACTCGGGAGAACGAGGTGAACATTTGACAGAGTTCTTAAATCTTTGTTCCTCTAATATCCATTCACTTGTGGACTGGTTGGTAAAGCAACTGCCTCGCTTCTAGCAGGTCAGAGTTCGATTCCCGCTGGTCCAAGTCTTCGGACACCTTTCCTTCACTCCTGTCCTCATATCCCAAGTCGTAGAAAGTCCTTATAAAGTACTTTCAAATGCTGAGTAGTCATGGTAGCATAACACCTCATAATGCCTTTTAATGCTATGATAGCATAGGACAATGCTGTGACGTAATTGTACATAACATAGTATAATGTTATGACAGCATAGTACAATGCTGTGACAGCATAGTATAATGTTATGACAGCATAGTACAATGCTGTGACAGCATAGTATAATGTTATGACAGCATAGTACAATGCTGTGACAGCATAGTATAATGTTATGACAGCATAGTACAATGCTGTGACAGCATAGTATAATGTTATGACAGCATAGTACAATGATATGGCAGCATAGTACAATGATATGACAGCATAGTACTATGCTATGACAGCATAGTACAATGCTATGACAGCATAGTACAATGCTATGACAGCATAGTATAATGCTGGGACAGCATAGTACAATGCTGTGACAGCATAGTATAATGCTGGGACAGCATAGTATAATGCTGGGACAGCATAGTATAATGCTATGACAGCATAGTATAATGCTGGGACAGCATAGTATAATGCTGGGACAGCATAGTATAATGCTATGACAGCATAGTATAATGCTGGGACAGCATAGTATAATGCTGGGACAGCATAGTATAATGCTGGGACAGCATAGTATAATGCTGGGACAGCATAGTATAATGCTGGGACAGCATAGTATCATGCCTGCCAGCATAGTATAATGCTGGGACAGCATAGTATAATGCTGGGACAGCATAGTATAATGCTATGACAGCATAGTATAATGCTGGGACAGCATAGTATAATGCTGGGACAGCATAGTATAATGCTATGACAGCATAGTATAATGCTGGGACAGCATAGTATAATGCTACGACAGCATAGTATAATGCTGGGACAGCATAGTACAATGCTGTGACAGCATAGTATAATGCTGGGACAGCATAGTATCATGCTGGGACAGCATAGTATAATGCTACGACAGCATAGTATAATGCTGGGACAGCATAGTACAATGCTGTGACAGCATAGTATAATGCTGGGACAGCATAGTATAATGCTGGGACAGCATAGTATAATGCTGGGACAGCATAGTACAATGCTATGACAGCATAGTATCATGCCTGCCAGCATAGTATAATGCTGGGACAGCATAGTATCATGCCTGCCAGCATAGTATAATGCTGGGACAGCATAGTACAATGCTATGACAGCATAGTATAATGCTGTGACAGCATAGTATCATGCCTGCCATCATGATCATTGCCAAGATCATCATACCACGAATATTTCTTCTGCCTGTACAAGAATATATTCTTATTTATAAGATTCATAAATTTAGTCAGACGTCTGAAAACGAGGGAAGTGGCGACGTTTCGGTCCATCCTGGACCGTTATCCGGTCTAGGAAGGACCGAGACGTCGTCACCTCACTTCCATTTTCAGACGTTAAGTAAAGACGTCTGAAAACGAGGGAGGTGGCGACGTTTCGGTCCATCCTGGACCGTTATCCGGTCTAGGAAGGACCGAGACGTCGTCACCTCACTTCCATTTTCAGACGTTAAGTAAAGACGTCTGAAAACGAGGGAGGTGGCGACGTTTCGGTCCATCCTTTACCGTTATCCGGTCCAGGAAGGACCGAGACGTCGTCACCTCACTTCCATTTTCAGACGTTAAGTAAAGACGTCTGAAAACGAGGGAGGTGGCGACGTTTCGGTCCATCCTGGACCGTTATCCGGTCTAGGAAGGACCGAGACGTCGTCACCTCACTTCCATTTTCAGACGTTAAGTAAAGACGTCTGAAAACGAGGGAGGTGGCGACGTTTCGGTCCATCCTGGACCGTTATCCGGTCCAGGATGGACCGAGACGTCGTCACCTCACTTCTATTTTCAGACGTTTAAAAAAAGAGGTCTAAAAACGTGGGAGGTGGCGACGTTTCGGTCCATCCTGGACCGTTATCCGGTCTAGGAAGGACCGAAACGTCGTCACCTCACTTCTATTTTCAGACGTGTTGGTTGGGAGTCTTAATCTTCAGCCCTCGTTATTATGACTTGCTGTCTACGCTATTCAGTGTAAACTTTTATCTGAAGGAAGGAGGATTTGGGTGACAGGAAGTTGTAAGTAGTCTAAGTAGAAATGGCCAGAATTTTCTCCCTACTCTTAATGGTATGATTGTTTAATGCGTTTCTATCATCACAACATATTGAATGCACAATGTATCATTGGTCCGTGTGGGGGCAACGCTGACTTATCGCAATGACGATTTTTAGTTAAAAAACAGATTTCATGTTATTTTTACCATTAAAATTAATGTGAATAACTTATTTTCAGTATAGATGATGAAAATCAACGTGTTTTCATAAGACATAACTATAATATTCTTCATTTTACGAGTATTGTGGTGACAATACAAGTCCTGCCCTGAAGCTGACCAAGTTTCAGGTCCGAATAATCCTGAAAACCAGTAAAAAAAATTTAATACCACATAAAGGGTTGTTCTGCTCTCTTACTCGATATCTAATAGCGTAGCGGTGGGGCCCAGGAACTAGGTCCCGAAGACAATTGACACAGGTAAGCACATCAACCAAGACAAGTTTCAGAAATCTATATACATTTTTTTTTTCAAGTAGAAAGCCTAAGGTTTTTCAAAGGAAAGTCCGATGAAAGTCTATATTTCTTCTATAGCTAAGAGAACTTGAATATAAAAACTGAGTAAAGTAAATATCTAATCAATCGGAAGCAATTCTCACGGAGCCGACGTGACAACGAACAAATACTCAGTAGTATAGATAAATTGGACATTGATATCCTATTTAAAATGGGTGGGAAAAGACCGACAGTTCACTGGTGGAAACTGGAAATAAAGATGAATTTAAGGGCCTTAAAGCAGAGGCTCAGTTCACGTGTAATAGGCAGCTGGAGTGCCAACCCAACTGGCAAACCAAATGGGTGTTCTGGTTGGCACACTAACGGTGTGTATTGGGTGCCAACTCTAATCCGAATTCAGCACTTTATACAATGAAGCCCAAATGATTCGGGAGTGAAGCCTAGACAGCTTATCCTAATTCACTAATTCACAACACACAACGAGCTAGTCTGTACCCCAGCCCCCCCACTCATACATACATACATACATACATACATACATACATACATACATACATACATACATACATACATACATACACACAGTATGGGTAATGGCAAGGGGAAACACTAGAGCCCGGCTTCCCCCTTGCGCTAATGGACACACAACCCCGGGAGAATGTCACAAGTTTTAATGAGAACGACGAATTTTGAGTGAGTGATGGGCAGTCCCCGGACGTGTAGGTGACAGGTGTGCCGGAAATAGCCAGGTGTGGGACGTGGGGGGGGGGGGATTACCATGTGTGGTGGGGGGAGGGTATTGCATGGAGAGAAATGGAAGGAGAGTAGAAAGCAGCAGGGAAAAGGGAGGAGAGAGAGAGAGAGAGAGAGAGAGAGAGAGAGAGAGAGAGAGAGAGAGAGAGAGAGAGAGAGAGAGAGAGAGAGAGAGAGAGAGAGAGAGAGATAACCACAGGACATAGCTGAGAGAGAAGGCATCAGAAACAGCTTGACAAACGATTCTCGAGTATTCAACCTGAAGATGGGGGACGAAGGCCTTCAGCTACCTGGACCCCTGACCTATTATGGTACTTTGGGGACCTGACCCACCTCCAGACCTCTTGAAACCTTGGGGATCGAACTCTGACCTGAAGCAAGGCCGTCAACGCCCCCCCTCACACCGGTCAAAAAGTCATTGCCATGGCTTTGAGTTTCCCCAACAATTTCCTTTATTCCCAATCGCTTTCGGGGGAAAAAATTATTCCCCAAATCCCTTAATTCTTCCCTGCCACATCACGCTAATCACCAGTCTTCGAATCTCAAGTTTACTGATAACAACATTTTGCGTGGCTTCTTTATGTTGTCTCAGAATATATTATGAACTTTTAGCTCACGCTCCACAACCTTTCGGACGATTTCTTGCAATTCCTCTTCTTTAGCCTGACCGATAGTAAATGGGACCTTCCACTCGTCAGTGGCGGATGCCATATTCACATTTTGGTGTTAAGATTTGTCATTGTGTGTATAACTGTGTGCATGTGTACTTGCATGCGTGTGTGCGTGCTTGCGTGCGTGTGTGCGTGTGGGATTTGAAGTTCAAAACAGTTATTTTCAAGAAATCTACGATAAAATGATTTTTTTCAGGAACTATTGATTATAAGGAAGCATTAAACTGTCAGAACGTTCTTAAACTAGTCAATGGGAGTCAGTGCATTTCACTCGCTAGCGCTCTCTCTGTCTCTGTCTCTGTCTCTCTCTCTCTTCTGCCCCCTTTATCGGCATGTCCGCCTGTGTGTCTGTCTCCCTGAACTACCATCAGCTTTTCATCAATATTTTACACCAAATACTCACACCCGCCTCGCCTGGTGCATACCCTGGGGGGCACTAAACCTGGCTCCACACACACACACACACACACACACACACACACACACACACACAGTCACTTCTCACACTGCTCTGCTGCTGCTAAAACTAATCCATGTGATACTTCCTATCCTCTCTTCTCCCTTCCCATTTACCACTAATCATTCCCCCACCTTCCACTTCTCTTCCACAAACACTCGCAACTCCATCATCCCTCAACATATGTTAATCTTATTAACATACTTTTATCATTAAAGTTATGTAATAATATCTTTATCAACATTTTACCCATAACTTTCTATATTATGTATATAAAAGAAAATGTGTCTGTTCGAGGTTGGAGGGTAGAGGCTTTGGGCTGGCTTCATCTATTTCTTCACAGTCATTACTTTTGGGTACGTGCACAACATGGGGTGGGTCAGGATTAGTGTCAAAGAAAACAGTGCCACACGGCACTTTCACAACGTCACCCGCGGCCCCCAACGGGAAAATCTCGCAATACCATACGATTGGACCTTCAATTATCTTTATTAGTATTAAAACAAAATTTAATACTGGAAAGAAAAGAAAGGGAGGAGGTGGAGAAGAGGGAGGGAAGAGGGGGAATAGAGGGAATAGAGGGGGAAAACTGGAAAAAGGAGGGAGTGCAGGGAAGAGATGTGGTGGATAGGGAGAGAGAAGGGAGGATAAGGAAGAGACGAATGGGTTAGAAGAGGGGGGGAGGGGAGATAAAGGAAGGGGAACAGACAAGGGAATAGAGAGAGAGAGGGGAAGGGGGGTAGAAGGGAGGGAAGGGAACTATGAGGAGAAAGCGCCAAGCCATTACCACTATATAGCACTGGCAGGGGTCAGGATAAGGATTGGGGATGGGACGGCGAGGGGGAAGGAATGGTGCCCAACCACTTGGACGGTCGGGGATTGAACGCCGACCTGCATGAAGCGAGATCGTCGCTCTACCGTCCAGCCCAAATGGTTGGGTAGGGGGGGGGGGTAGAGACCATGACACTGCTGGGTACCACTGTGAGTACCGGTATACAAGATGGGGTACCACTGTGAGTACCAGTATACAAGATGGGGTACCACTGTGAGTACCGGTATACAAGATGGGGTTCCAGGCAGTGGCCAGGCTGACCCCAGACCCGCTCATGTTGGTCACTTACCCTTCATCAACCACTATACACGATTGTGTGAGGCTAGCCCACAGCGTCTGGCCTCTATTCATGGACATGGCCTCCAATCATGGACAGACATTCTTATACATATATTCTTACTATATTCCTCTTCAAGCACGAATCCCCTTAACACCCGACACGTTATTTTCCCTCAAGGTGCCAAATCTAATCATTAACATTATGAACGATTGGCAAATCTTCCTCTGCCATTTATCACCCATTAGCGCACATTTCTAGCTTCTTCCTGCCGTCATCATGCACTCTAATTCCTCCTACCTTGTACTATCCAACGCCTTAGTGATACACCATCATGAGTGCATTCATCTTTTCATCGAGGAAGTAATTACACACTACAAATTGTGTTCAACCTTCAGGTGTACACAGACATCAGGGGCCCCCCGCCCCCCCCTAGGTACAGCTCATCTCACCCCTCCATAGGACCACCTCCTCCAGAGGGCCAACTCCTCCAGAGGGCCAACTCCTCCAGAGGGCCACCTCCTCCAGAGGGCCACCTCCTGCAGAGGGCCACCTCCTTTAGAGGGCCAACTCCTCCAGAGGGCCACCTCCTCCAGAGGGCCACCTCCTCCAGAGGGCCAACTCCTCCAGAGGGCCACCTCCTCCAGAGGGCCACCTCCTCCAGAGGGCCACCTCCTCCAGAGGGCCACCTCCTCCAGAGGGGCCAACTTCTCCAGAGGGCCACCTCCTCCAGAGGGCCACCTCCTCCAGAGGGGCCAACTTCTCCAGAGGGCCACCTCCTCCAGAGGGCCACCTCCTGCAGAGGGCCACCTCCTCCAGAGGGCCACCTCCTCCAGAGGGCCACCTCCTTTAGAGGGCCAACTCCTCCAGAGGGCCACCTCCTGCAGAGGGCCACCTCCTGCAGAGGGCCAACTCCTCCAGAGGGCCACCTCCTCCAGAGGGCCACCTCCTGCAGAGGGCCACCTCCTGCAGAGGGCCACCTCCTCCAGAGGGCCAACTCCTCCAGAGGGCCACCTCCTCCAGAGGGCCACCTCCTGCAGAGGGCCACCTCCTGCAGAGGGCCACCTCCTGCAGAGGGCCACCTCCTGCAGGAGAGCAAGAAACTGACACGATAAGAGTGTGAGAGAGATGTAGCCGCAGCCTCTCAAGGCTCTAGAGAATGACAGGTTGATAATACCTTAAGACCTGTCTAACTTACCGTCCACGGAGGCCAACTTACCAGCCATCACTCTGGATAAGTTCAAGTTAAGATAATAAAATACAGCCTGAAAGGATAGAGTAACTTTGGCTATTTCTATCCGCCTCTGTTACAGGTCCTTTAAGGGCCTTACAAATCCACACAGTATAGTCAGGTAATACTATTTTACATTATAAAAAATTTGTAAATATCTTCGATATCGGGCTACAAGACATTACGCCTACGTAGCACTTGTTAGGGATCGGGTGAGGAATTGTGCCCAACCACTTATGGATGGTCGGGGGATTGAACGCTGACCTGCAAGAGAGACCGTCGCTCTACCGTCCAGCCCAAGTAACTTGTACATTATAAAGACATTTACATTAATAGTTACCACGACTCTCTGGGTGAAGTACAGCTTCACTAACGGATCATAACTAACGTAAAATAAACCAACGCAACTCTATACAAACTCGATAGATTGGACGGATATCTGTGTGGTGAGAAAACACAAGACGGGGGTCAGTTCTGGAAGGTTCCAGCCCAATAAAGATGCGCTTCCAGGGGGAGGGGTGGGGGGGTTGGAACACAAACGGACTCTCGTTGAGAGTCCAACAGAGTCTGGACCGGAAAGGCGTTCTTAATCGAACTGGCTCTTTACTACTGCAGTGAAAAATTGCACAATCTTAACTGCTCTTAGGTAAGACGAGCTCCCACTCAGGCAGTAAATCGCAATATCCAATCCGCTCTCCAACTCTTTTCAACTGCTAAGATAGTTATCAGAAAGCGCTAAGATAGTACTACTACAGAGCACTTGGAATGATTGATTGATTGATGAAGATTAAGCCACCCAAAAGGTGGCACGGACATGAATAGCCCGTAAGTGGTGGCCCTTTTGAGCCATTACCAGTATCAAGAGCTGATACTGGAGATCTGTGGAGGTGCGACTGCACCCTGCGTGACGGGAGATGTCTCCCGGACCAAATGGTGACTCAGAATGGATATGAGGACAAGGATCTGGGGATAAGGCTCCCTCTAGTGATACGTAAGAATACCAAGTCTGAACGTCAAGGAATATTTGTGCTACAGAACTAGACCTGTCAAGGTGATCTCCAGAACTAGACCTGTCAAGGTGATCTCCAGAACTAGACCTGTCAAGGTGATCTCCAGAACTAGACCTGTCAAGGTGATCTCCAGAACTAGACCTGTCAAGGTGATCTCCAGAACTAGACCTGTCAAGGTGATCTCCAGAACTAGACCTGTCAAGGTGATCTCCAGAACTAGACCTGTCAAGGTGATCTCCCTCAGCGCGGTAAACCATTTGAGTTGACAGTCCGGGAAATTATGTCGGGAGGAAAACAAAAATAGATTTAGCGTGACAGGAGAAATGTGAAGAGGAAGTCGTGAGTTCAGGAATACATCAGAGATGAAGTTTGAGGAAAAAGATGCTTAAGACAATAGCCGCTAGTGAGAGTGTGGCTCTGAAGGTATCTTCTATCTCTTCTCAAAGAGATGAATTTGTAAATATCTTCGATATCGTCTACATGTCATTACGTCTATGTAGCACTTGGTGGGGAACGGAATAAAGATTTGGGATGAAACGGGAGGAGAAGGAATGATGCCCAACCACTTATGGATGGTCGGGGATTGAACGCCGACCTACAAGAAGAGAGACCGTCGCTCTACCGTCCAGCCCAAGTACTTGGTCATGGGAGACGGGAAGGGGGGGGAGGGAATATATATATATATATATATATATATATATATATATATATATATATATATATATATATATATATATATGATGTTGATTTGATATATATATATATATATATATATATATATATATATATATATATATATATATATATATATATATATATTTTTTTTTTATAAAAATAGGAAGGGAGTACCACCTCTAGCTGGAAGAAGGGGGACCCATAGCCTCGGAGGAAACCACGCATAACGCATTAGAGGGAATGTTTAGATCCCCTCCAATACAGTTTCTGTGATATATATATATATATATATATATATATATATATATATATATATATATATATATATATATATATATATATATATATAATCGACAATATCCTGCAAAATCCCACCTTACTTAATACTTTCATTATTGTTCACACTTGTGTTAAGTTGCAACATTTTTCACCAACTCTAAGACTCTACTTAACAGCTAAGTGAGAAGTGAATTAGCTATGCATGCCTGTACAAATATAACTCTTAAGAGTTTTTAAGAGTTATTAAAGCAGTCAGAGAGAGTCACAGAGAGAGTCACAGAGAGAGTCACAGAGAGAGTCACAGAGAGAGTCACAGAGAAAGTCACAGAGAGAGAAATAGCGACAACCACAAGGAAAATCTGACAGACACGATTTACTGTTTTTGGAATTTTTTTTTTTTTGGTGGATATATTTACAGCCTTTAATAGGAAATTCTGTAAAAAATGTGAAGGGGGAGATAACTAAGGTAATAGGACCCTCCATGCCCTCTAATTTCGGGTCATTAGGTACCCATCTTGAGATGATTTCGGGGCTTGAGTGTCCCCGCGGCCAGGTCCTCGACCAGGCCTCCACCCCCAGGAAGCAGCCCGTGACAGATGACTAACACCCAGGTACCTATTTTACTGCTAGGTAACAGGGGCATTCAGGGTGAAAGAAACTTTGCCCATTTGTTTCTGCCTCGTGCGGGAATCGAACCCGCGCCACAGAATTACGAGTCCCATACCCACAATCAGTTTCCCAAAAATATACACCTGGAGATTTCACTCGAATAATAATAAAACAGATTTCTGGCGAGTCTGACAGTATATACCGTCACAAAGTCAGATATTTAACCGAATATTACCCAAGAGTGATAATCAGGTTGTAATACATATTATATTTAACTTCTAGATCATTATACCAGGAGACAAGCGGTAACTTACAGCAAGGTGAAAAAAAATAAGTGTAAACACACAGAGCAAATCAATTTGCCCTGTGTGTAAATTGTAATTGCTTTTGTAAATTGCCAATTTACAAAAGCAAAAGTGCATTTGTGTAGTGTGTAGTGACGAGCAGACCCAAACACACACACACACATACACACACACACACACACACACACACACACACACACACACACACACACACACACACACACACACACACACACACACACACACACACACACACACACACAGCCGAGATATTAACCTACGTGATGGTAATGTTTCATCTCTCCCTCACAGAATACACAATCTGGTATTTTTCTGGCCCCTCGAAATATACAACTCTGAATCACAACTCTGTATGTATTACTAAATCCAGCTCTATATACACGTCATCTCTACCTTCACCAGCCCTACACTTGCCCTACACTTGCCCAACACTGCTCAACACCCTCCCTCTCCCACTACTCTTGCCTCTAACCCAAACACTTACCTAACTCCTCCCTAACTTTCATCCAAAGATTTTATAACGAAAATGTATTTATAAATCCTGCAGCAGGAGCCTCGCACTCTCTCAGAAATTAATTAATGAAGCAAAGTGTCTTTGGGGGCTTTTGAGAGCACTTGAGACGTCTCTCACCTTGCCCAAGGACGTCACAAGGAGACGTCACGGGGAGATGTCACGGGGCTGTTGTGTTGACGTCATGTTTGTTATCGTTGATAGTTCTCTTACTTGCAAATTGACAGGTGTGTGTGTCATGTCTAGGAGACGGGGCCCTGTCATCCATATCGCTGTCAGGTCTAGATTGGGGCAGATGTTGAATGCCTCACACGACAGATGTATGATGAGATAATGATGCCTCAGATGCTTCGTTAAGGCTGAGATGATTTGATGAAACGTCTCCACCTGTGTCTGTCCACCTTCTACCCGTCTCTGTCCACCACCCACCCGTCTCCACCCGCACCTGTCCACGGCCGACTTCCACCTCCGTGGGTGGAGATAGGTTCACTTATAAGTTAACAGACTTATAAGTAAACGCAAACAAACCGGCCATGACTTAAGACGCACATCTTTCTTATAATGACTTCTCGCCCTGCTGAAGAAGGTCGTAATTGCCCTTCGTTTGTCAGTAGTTCAGAAACCCGTCAGCCGAGAAGAAAACGTTATTTAAGTGATTATTGTCAAGTGATTAACTTGACGCTAATCACTTGACAGATTAACGATTATACAAGAGAGGTATTTTAAGAGCGAATGTTACACGCTATTCCCCACTGATTTCAACCCTCAGAACAACACACCCGTAAAACTCTTAAAAAACACTGATGAAAACACAAATTGTTTTTCCTCTATCGTGGCGAGTCGGGTCCAAAATAGACATCTGAACACACACACACACACACAAGTGGCTTTTCTATACATATAAAAGTCTCAATTTGTTTTCCCGGAGTAAAAAATATATATATATCTAAAAATGGTCAAGACAGGTTAATTATTCCTTTTCCATTTCGTAAGTTCTAAGGTAAGGGAAGCGTCTTATATTTTGGTCATATATTGAACACATCATCAAACCCGAATCGAAGGCATGTGGAATTAGGGGGACAAAATCATACACAATAGTATTATTTCATAGAATTTCGTACCTGAATTAATTGAAGGGGGATTGGGGGGGGGGGGTATAAGCGTCCATATAAAATCGAAATTGTTGGAAAATAGAAACATTATAAAGTTAGAATTAGTAACACAGTTTCATCATTTTAGTGATGGTAGGAACGGTATGAGGCAAATTTTATTTCAATAGGATGGAAGGATGGAACTGAGAAAGGAAGAGAGAGAGAGAGAGAGAGAGAGAGAGAGAGAGAGAGAGAGAGAGAGAGAGAGAGAGAGAGAGAGAGAGAGAGAGAGAGAGAGAGAGAGAGAGAGAGAGAGTGAGAGAGAGAGAGAGAGAGAGAGAGAGAGAGAGAGAGAGAGAGAGAGAGAGAGAGAGAGAGAGAGAGAGAGAGAGAGAGAGAGAGAGAGAGAGAGAGAGAGAGAGAGTGAGTGTGTAAAGTTCATATCGAGTGATTACGTCTGGGTGACGTAGATGCAACAAATCACTTTCACGTCTAGTGCCGGCTGCACCACTCCCGGATCACCAGGTTATTGCTACCCGTGTAAAGCACCGGCACACGCACGCTCCCATACACGCGCACGCGCGCATGTACACTTGGTGTTGTGTAGCGCAGTAGTGAGCGTTGTGGCCTCATACCTAACAGGTGTGAGCCACTTGCATTCTGGGAAAGGTCAGACGTTGGCCTAGAGGGCATCTCGGTAGCCTAGCAGGCTTCGTGTCTCCGACGTACAAGCGTAGTCCCATATACTCACGAGTACATAAGCAATCAAGCGCTCAAATACACGAATGCGCGCACTCAAGCGCTCCTAAACGAGCCACAGAGACAAGAAAAAGCATAAAAGTTTTGCGTCAGAGTAGTTAATAGACGGAGTGTACTTAAAACCACAACCCGTCCTCAGACCAAGTCCATTCCATCCAGCGGTCGACCCCCAAAGACGCATTTATTAATTTTAACATGCTGTTCATTCAAAGCAGGAATTTTCTCACGTATAAATGAACACTGTGCATATTTAGGCATCGGTAAATTTAAGTTAGGTTCTGTTGACGATTATATGTATTTGTAGCATTTACAGCTGTGTCATATGACACAGGTCATATGCCATATGACACAGGTCATATGTCATATGTCACAGGTCATATGTCATATGTCACAGGTCATATGTCATATGTCACAGGTCATATGTCATATGTCACAGGTCATATGTCATATGTCACAGGTCATATGTCATATGTCACAGGTCATATGTCATATGTCACAGGTCATATGTCATATGTCACAGGTCATATGTCATATGTCACAGGTCATATGTCATATGTCACAGGTCATATGTCATATGTCACAGGTCATATGTCATATGACACAGGTCATATGTCATGTGACATATGACATATAAGGCCGGCCAAAATTCAGGGCACGCAGACATCCTCTGGTGGCATCTCTCAGATATAACCTCAGATATAACCTATAATCTCTCAGTTCCCCAGATATAACCACTGCCGTTTATCAGTGGGGGGGGGGGGGAAGTGTCATCCATTCATGATAGCTTTGGGATGATTGCTCTTTCAATTGCAAGAAAATAGTTATATATTAGATGATAAGTCCATGCAAGGCTACTGATGAATCATCCAAGTGTTTACGTCACCCGTCTACAAGGGGCCCCGTCACCCGTCTACAAGGGTCCCCGTCACCCGTCTACAAGGGCCTGTCACCCGTCTACAAGGGCCTGTCACCCGTCTACAAGGGTCCCCGTCACCCGTCTACAAGGGTCCCCGTCACCCGTCTACAAGGGGCCCCGTCACCCGTCTACAAGGGTCCCCGTCACCCGTCTACAAGGGTCCCCGTCACCCGTCTACAAGGGCCTGTCACCCGTCTACAAGGGCCCCCGTCACCCGTCTACAAGGACCCCGTCACCCTGCCACCTCTGAGGGAAGTCTTTCAGGTCACACTTTAGCTCTTTTCTGTGTGTGTGTGTGTGTGTGTGTGTGTGTGTGTGTGTGTGTGTGTGTGTGTGTGTGTGTGTGTGTGTGTGTGTGTGTGTGTGCGCGCGCGCGTGCGGGAGCGTATTCACAAATACCCACCAAGATAACCTCAAGATTACCATCGTGTACCGATATAACACATCAACAATGGTCTCCGGAGAGGGATTCCACCAGGTTCACTCTGGTTCTCTGGTTATCTTGAGGTTATTTGAGATGATTTCGGGGCTTTAGTGTCCCCGCGGCCCGGTCCTCGACCAGGCCTCCACCCCCAGGAAGCAACCCGTGACAGCTGACTAACACCCAGGTACCTATTTTACTGCTAGGTAACAGGGGCATAGGGTGAAAGAAACTCTGCCCAATGTTTCTCGCCGGCGCCTGGGATCGAACCCAGGACCACAGGATCACAAGCCCAGCGTGCTGTCCGCTCGGCCGACCGGCCGAGGCTGATGGCTTGGGAGGGGGGGGGGAAGAAGCTGGAAGGGAAGGAAACTATCAGGGAAATGGGCCAAGCCATTACGACTATATAGCATTGAGAAGGGGTCAGGATAAAAATTTGGGATGGGACGGTGGGAAAGGAATGGTGCCCAACCACTTATGGACGGTCGGGGATTGAACGCGGACCTGCATGAAGCGAGACCGTCGCTCTACCGTCCGCCCCAAGTGGTGAGGGAGCGATTACTTTTTTTTCCTGTCAGCTTGTTCGGGGGACATTTTTTTTTTGTTTTGTTTTCGACACTGCAAGAACGTCTGTGATTGGACACGTGACCATACAAGCCTCTGTTAATTGGTCACTACAGAATACACGCCGCGGGTGATTGGACACCAGCATACACAGCTCAAGTATTTATACCGTCTTGCTCTCCGAGCACAAACGTTTCCGCAGCAACACGGCAACAGAATGTTGGTAGAACGTTGACGAATTTGAGTTACAAAAGTTAAATCATTAAAAAGGGCTGAGAAATAATGTATAAAAAATTTAACATCTAATTATTTTTAAATATGATTAAAATATTTCACTAGAAAAAACAGGTATCAGCATATTATCTTGAGGTTATCTTGAGATGATTTCGGGGCTTAGCGTCCGTGCGGCCCGGTTCTCGACCAGACCTCCACCTCCCAGGAAGCAGCCCGTAGCAGCTGTCTAACTCCCAGGTACCTATTTACTGCTAGGCAACAGGAGCATCAGAGTGAAAAAAAAAAACATTTTGCCCATTTGTCTCCGCCTCCACCAGGGATTGAACCCGGAACCTCAGGACTAAGAATCCGAAGCGCTGTTCACTCAGCTGTCGGGCGCCCATGGCTATGGGAATGGTGGGAATTAAATAATGTGTTCCATAGCACTAAAGGGAAGAATAATCGGTTTTAGCGTAATATAAAACTATACAACATTTGTTTATAGCAATAAACTATACACAAACCAGACAACTGATAAATGTGTCATAATTCATAATTACGGACAGTTTGACATAGTCCATCTATTTCTCGTATGAGGAAACAGAGAAACATGACACATGGGAACAACGCATGACACATGGGTACAACATGGACCACAGGACCATGGACCACAGGACCACGGGTTCACAGGACCATGGACCACAGGACCACGGGTTCACAGGACCATGGGACTGTCCGGTACAAGTGAAATAGGATGCTGACCCATTAAGAAAATGGGAAACTCGTACATCACTGGATGATGTATAGGAATTAGTACAGAGATGCGTGCTATAGGAGGAGAAGGAAGGAAGGAATTATCAGGGGGGCAAGCGCCAAGCCATTACGACTATATAGGACTTGGAAGGGGTCAGGATAAGGATTTGGGACGGGACGGCGAGGCGGAAAGGAATTGTACCCAATCACTTGGACGGTCGGGGATTGAACGCCGACCTGCATGAAGCGAGACCGTCGCCCGCTATAGGGGGAGAGCAACGCAAGTTACGTCGGTCAGTTCCCCGACCTACCTGACTTTGCCTGACCCAACCCAACCATGAGATGTGAAAGGCGAGTCGTGAGGGGATGAGTCGTAAACAGCAGTCGTGAGTATGATTCAAGTCGTAAGAGGCCGATGGTAAGAGATTTATACAGTATGAAGGGAATCGTAAGAGCTAAATCGTGAGTAAAATGTGAGTTGTGAGTGGAAGGTGGGCCGTAAGATATGAGTTACGAGTGAGAGGTGGGTCGTAAGATATGAGTTATGAGTGAGAGGTTGGTCGTAAGATATGAGTTATGAGTAAGAGGTGGGTCATAGGAGATGAGTTATATAAGGTGGGTCCAAAGTGATGAGTTACGAGTATGAATCGTGAGTGAAAGACAAGTCGTCGAGGGGATACTAGAGAAATCCCATAAAAGATAAAGATTTAAGATTTACTGTAAGCAAAGATAAAGAGACTAAGGGAACCAGGCAAACACCCGCACACGTCTAAGTACATAGCCTAACCCCTAGACACTAAATGTTTTCCTTAAATCCCCGTTGTTGGGGGACAAGAAGCCCGTGTGTGTATATATACTCTACACTTGTATCAAAGTCCTTCCAAGATCGAATTTCTGATTTTCCCTAGAATGCAACCCCAACACACACACCAGTTGCCTAAATCCTACAAATACCTATTTACTGAAAAGGTGTCCAGGGACATTAGGTGAAAGGAAACCATTTCTGTCCCGCCAGGAATCGAACCCGGGACTTCCAATTGTGCGTCAAGAACGAAGCCTACTGTGCCACCCAACCGTTGACATCCAGGTGGCTAATGGCCCCACTCCACACGCAAGAGAATAATGGTGCCAGGTGGATTAAAAACTACTGAACACAATAATGTCTTCACACCCTCCTGTAGTTAGTCCTCTTAGGAGCAAAATTGGTTTACTATTCTGAACGATTAACGTAATTAACGTTACAAAACGCTACAGAAACAAGAACAGCCATTTTAAAGGGAAATGTGAACTACATACGTCTATATATACAAGTAGACAACTAAAATATAAAATAATTTTGAACACTATGCACTAAAATAAAAACAATAAAATCACATTAAAACAGTCAAATAAATCAAACACAAGTACACACACACACATAGCCATACACGCACATACATACATACACATGAAGCCATTCACAAGACATGACACAAATTATCAAGTACACAACATGTCTCACCTAGAGTGTGGCCGATCACCGCTTCCAAGGAATACAAAAAAAAAAAGTTGCAAAGCAGCGGTCACCAGATTGTCCAGCCTGTTGTGTCCCTCATAGTTCACGGGTGTACGCCACTCGGCGCTGAAACGTCCGCCAGCACACACGTAACGTCACAGATGTTGCTGGAACATCCACTTAACACACAGATAACATCCCGGTTGGTGCTGGGAATGTCCGCTAGCACAGATGTAACATCATGGTTGCTGCAAGAATGTCCGCTAACACACTCGTGTCATGAATGTTGCTGGAACGTTCGCTACAACATTTGTAATGTCATGAATGTTGCTGGAACGTCCGCTACAACATTTGTAATGTCATGAATGTTGCTGGAACGTCCACTACAACATTTGTAATGTCATGAATGATGCTGGAACGTTCGCTAGCTCACACGTAATGTGACAAACGTTGCTGGAACGTTCTCTAGCACATGTAATGTTACAGATGTTGCTGGAACGTCCGCTAGCCCACACGTAACGTTACAGATGTTGCTGGAACGTTCGCTAGCACACATGTAATGTCACAGATGTTGCTGGAACGTCCGCTAACACACACGTAATGTAACAAATGTTGCTGGAACGTCCGCTAGCCCACACGTAATGTCACAGATGTTGCTGGAACGTTCGCTAACACACACGTAATGTTACAGATGTTGCTGGAACGTCCGCTAGCATACCCGTGATGTTACGGTTGCTACTCCTGGTGCCCATGATGATCCGCGCTCATCATATCGACCCCTTGTACTGGACCAAGAACTGGAAAGAAAAGAAAATTAATTAGTGTTAAGGTTCAACAAATATTGACATTTTCTTGTACACTATGGGCGAGGAAAAGAAAAGGAAGAGGAAAGGAATGGGTAAAAGTGTGGGAAGGAGACAGGATTAGAGAGAAGTGAAGGGAGGGGACAGAAGGGAGAAGAGATGAAGGTATGGAGATTAGGGAGAGAAAAGTGAGGGTGATATTGATTGTCACAATCACTTGTTCAGGGCACAACACAGGAAATACATAGCAACACATCAACACAAGGTCTCACACATCAACACAAAAGGCCACAACATCAACACAAAAGGCCACAACATCAACACAAAAGGCCACAACATCAACACAAAAGGCCACAACATCAACACAAAAGACCCCAACATCAACACAAAAGACCCCAACATCAACACAAAAGACCCCAACATCAACACAAAAGACCACAACATCAACACAAAAGACCCCAACATCAACACAAAAGACCACAACATCAACACAAAAGACCCCAACATCAACACAAAAGGTCACAACATCAACACAAAAGACCCCAACATCAACACAAAAGACCCCAACATCAACACAAAAGGCCACAACATCAACACAAAAGACCACAACATCAACACAAAAGACCACAACATCAACACAAAAGGCCACAACATCAACACAAAAGACCACAACATCAACACAAAAGGCCACAACATCAACACAAAAGACCACAACATCAACACAAAAGACCACAACATCAACACAAAAGACCACAACATCAACACAAAAGACCACAACATCAACACAAAAGGCCACAACATCAACACAAAAGGCCACAACATCAACACAAAAGGTCACACATCAACACAAAAGACCCCAACATCAACACAAAAGACCACAACATCAACACAAAAGGCCACAACATCAACACAAAAGACCACAACATCAACACAAAAGGCCACCCAGCTACAAAACAACCACCACAACACCAAATCCTTCAACACACCTGGGCAAAAGTACAAATACAGTAGACTAAAATAATCGAGCCATTGCTGTAAGCAGGAGCCCTGAGCAGACGGCATCTCTGCTCTCCTCTCGCGGAAGACAGACCTCATTACTACATCAGAGAAACTCCCTCAAGTTTACTGCCAAGTCAGACAAGAAATCTTATTTACAGCTTCTCTTGCCAGAAATTATGTTCAAACTTACAAGTTAGTGAAAATTTAATTTTCTACATTTTCTGGGACACTTTACATTGATTTTTTTTTTACTTTGTCTGATCCGGCGAGAAAAGATTTAATGGTTTATTAAAATTATAATTTAATGTTCCGTGTCTTGACATTTTATTCACGATTGATATTATTGATAAAATCATAGACATACAGACACCACTAGATAGCCCCATTCAGTTTATGTCTTCAAAAGAGGATGTCTGGTAGTCCAAGATTGGAGGTCTGATGCTTGCGGCTAGCCTCACTAAACTTCCCACAATGACTGGTTGGAATTAGGTGACTGGCACTGTAGCCCGTCCTCTCGGGCGTTCACAACGTCACTAAACTGATTAAACTAAACTAAATCACCCGAACCTAACCTAACAGAGGACCCAGGAATAGAAAAAGGGACATCACGTCAATTTTGCGCGCCGGTGTGACTGGTTGGGCACGTGAGGTTTTGATTAGGGACTGGAAGAGGGACTGGGAAGAGGATTAGGGACTGATTAAGAAAATTGGTGAGGGCGGGTTGGTCAGAGACCAGTCGGAGTCGGCTTCCATGTCGACCAAACGCCGACACCGAGTCGGCGTCCATGTCGACCAAACGCCGACACCGAGTCGGCGTCCATGTCGACCATTTTGAAGTCGGCAGAGACGAATTGGTCGGCTCCAAGTCAATAAAGTTTTTTAATATTTCCATATCACAGATTTTCATATTCAAAAGCAATCTTCTGGCGTCAGATTTGCAGTCTCGGGGCTTCCGGATACCTCATCCAGAGTACAAATCTTGGGAACATCTTGGGAACATCTTGGGAACATCTTGGGAACATCTTGGGAACATCTTGGGAACATCTTGGGAACATCTTGGGAACATCTTGGGAACATCTTGGGATCATCTTGGGAACGACTTTTTAATGTGCGTGAAATTGAACACAACAACATGATAAAAATGCTCATTTTCTTATGGATATTTTCCAATCTGGGTAAATACCTTTTACCAACTAATTTAGAAAAGCTGGCTCTCTTAACCTTAATATTTTATCTCAATATTGCTGTTTGAATTTCTTTATATTTATACTGCGGCACTTGGTGATTCAACAGTGTCACTCTACCAGACACTGCGGCACTTGGTGATTCAACAGTGTCACTCTACCAGACACTGCGGCACTTGGTGATTCAACAGTGTCACTCTACCAGACACTGTGGCACTTGGTGATCCAACAGTGTCACTCTACCAGACACTGCGGCACTTGGTGATCCAACAGTGTCACTCTACCAGACACTGTGGCACTTGGTGATTCAACAGTGTCACTCTACCAGACACTGCGGCACTTGGTGATTCAACAGTGTCACTCTACCAGACACTGCGGCACTTGGTGATTCAACAGTGTCACTCTACCAGACACTGCGGCACTTGGTGATTCAACAGTGTCACTCTACCAGACACTGTGGCACTTGGTGATTCAACAGTGTCACTCTACCAGACACTGCGGCACTTGGTGATTCAACAGTGTCACTCTACCAGACACTGTGGCACTTGGTGATTCAACAACACCCCTATGAAGCCTCTGGCACCATCCCACACCCTTTTCACCAACAACAGTCACGTGAAACACAACAGGTTGTGAAAACAACCCCCTAGTTACCTTGACGACAACTCCACCACTTTTGTACGAAGCTTCGTACATCAATATTTTGTTTACCTGCATCTCAGCTGTTCGAAATGTGGAGAAAGACGAAGGAGAAGAATAGCGAAGGAGAGGGAACAGATGGCGAAGATAGGAAGGACAAGGAGGAAGGTAAGATAATATTGAGGAGACAGTCTTAAGCCTATACTATACAGTACTTGGAAGGGATAACAGGACTCGACTATTGGGAATCGAACGCCATTTCTCAGACAATATTGTGAGAGGCGATTGATAGTGGAAAATGCAAAGGAAGGAAAGCGCGTCATTGATAATAAGAGGAAGAAGAATGGGAGAGAATAGACAGTAAGGAAAGGAAAGAGGATAGACAGTAAGGAAAGGAGAAAGGATAGGTAGAAAGATATGAAAACAGAACTCCTCAGTGACTAAGGGAGAGGACATGAACAGTAATTGTGAGATGAAAGGAGCTGAAGGAGGTGCTGGGGGAGGGAAGATAGACAGTAAAGGATAGGAGGAGGCAGACGGGATGGACAGCGAGACTGATGAATAACGAGACAAAATGCCGGGCAGCCTAGCGGACAGAAGGCCAGGCAGCCTAGTGGACAGAAGCCCAGGCAGCCTAGTGGACAGAAGCCCAGGCAGCCTAGCGGACAGAAGCCCAGGCAGCCTAGTGGACAGAAGCCCAGGCAGCCTAGCGGACAGAAGCCCAGGCAGCCTAGTGGACAGAAAACCAGGCAGCCTAGTGGACAGAAGAACAGACAGCCTAGTGGACAGAAAACCAGACAGCCTAGTGGACAGAAGGCCAGGCAGCCTAGTGGACAGAAGGCTAGGCAGCCTAGTGGACAGAAGACCAGGCAGCCTAGTGGACAGAAGGCCAGGCAGCCTAGTGGACAGAAGACCAGACAGCCTAGTGGACAGAAGGCTAGGCAGCCTAGTGGACAGAAGACCAGGCAGCCTAGTGGACAGAAGACCAGGCAGCCTAGTGGACAGAAGGCTAGGCAGCCTAGTGGACAGAAGACCAGGCAGCCTAGTGGACAGAAGGCTAGGCAGCCTAGTGGACAGAAGACCAGGCAGCCTAGTGGACAGAAGACTAGGCAGCCTAGTGGACAGAAGACTAGGCAGCCTAGTGGACAGAAGACCAGGCAGCCTAGTGGACAGAAGGCCAGGCAGCCTAGTGGACAGAAGACCAGGCAGCCTAGTGGACAGAAGGCTAGGCAGCCTAGTGGACAGAAGACCAGGCAGCCTAGTGGACAGAAGACCAGGCAGCCTAGTGGACAGAAGGCTAGGCAGCCTAGTGGACAGAAGACCAGGCAGCCTAGTGGACAGAAGGTTAGGCAGCCTAGTGGACAGAAGACCAGGCAGCCTAGTGGACAGAAGGCCAGGCAGCCTAGTGGACAGAAGACCAGGCAGCCTAGTGGACAGAAGGCTAGGCAGCCTAGTGGACAGAAGACCAGGCAGCCTAGTGGACAGAAAACCAGGCAGCCTAGTGGACAGAAGGCTAGGCAGCCTAGTGGACAGAAGGCCAGGCAGCCTAGCGGCCATCTACACACATCTTAGCATACTATATTAATATTGTAATAACTTCACAAGTCTTAATTAGTTAAAAAAAATCAAATTTACTTTAATTTACAATTTTATGTAATTAAATAAGCGACATGAGGACTCCTGAAGCGATCTTGGAGGCCCCCCCACATCCTCCTCACCTGATTGAATCAACCAATCAGGATGAAGGCAAAACATGGCATAATATGATTGGTGAAAATATCACGCCCACAAGTCCTCGGATGATCAGGATGCAAGAGAGACGCCCCCACAGGTCGGCTCCTATTGGCCGACGTAGATCAGGGAGAACCACTCAGACGAGGTGGTAGGACAGAGGTCAGAGGTCAAAGGTCAGAAGACAGAGGTCCTGGAGGACCTGATGTTCAAGATGACACCATTTAACACATACAAATGCAGCCTATAGCCTGAGCAATCAGGACTGAGCACAGTCGCTGTAGTAGTGGGGGCGGCGGCGCCCCGTTCAGCTATTGGAGTTTTTATCAATAATGATTCGTCGACGTGTAGCGAGTGGTTCGTCTACTGTCAAGAGCTGCAGGCAAGTCACGACCCGATCCAGAGATGTACTCTGCTTCTTGACAACAGGAGGGAAGGACT